TAACATAAGAGCCCCATTGACATCAGAGCACTCTTAACATCAAAGCACCCTTAATATCAGAAATGCTATAACATCAGAGCACCCTTAATAACATAGCACACTAGTATCACAGCTCCCCGTTCACATCAGGAGCCCCACCTTCACATCTGGCATCCCCTGCCCCATCAGGAGCCTCACCTTCACATCTGGCACCGTTTCACATCAGTAATCCTCCCTTCACATCAGGAGTCTCCTAATATGAAGGGGGGGGGGGCTTCTTATGTGAAGGAGGGATGCCAGATGTGAAGAGGGTGCCAGAGGTCAAGGGGGATCTAAGGGGATTAGAGCTCGCCCCAAACATCTTTCACTCACTGCTCACATCAGTAGCCCCTTTAACATAGGAGCTCGACCCTGCACATCTGGTGCCACCATTTACATTAAAGTCCTCAGTCCCCTGGGTCCCCTTCACATTAGAGTCACTAAACTACAGCCTGGTGGAGCTCACCTGATTAATGTCTTCTGGCATACATGCGTGTTCTTCTAATGGGTCCCCTATGGGAAGTATAGGGTTCACCTGAGGTCCCTGAGGGGCCACTTCACCACGTAGCTGTCTATTGGGCTCATCCTGGTGCCCCCCATACATCTCCTCCGTGCCACAGGTGGAGTCCCTAAGCAGTCTGCTCTGATGATAATACCCTCCTCCACCACCACTGATAGCCCTGCTGGTAATTATGAGCCACCTCTCCTCCTCCTCCCTCCCAGTCCTCCTCCTTCTCCTGCCATAGGAATCAAAGCACAGCATGCATGACTCACACATGCTGTAACATTCTGGAGATGAAAGCATTCCGGTAATGACTATCGGACCCAAAATTCCAGCATTGCTGGCTCAATTCTGGCAAGTTCCCAGGTATGCTCATAAACAAACACAATAGTTGGTAAAGAGTAATTCTAACTAAACACATAATCAAAGATGTTGCCACTACAAATTCTGATATTCCATGGTTTAACATCAGGAAAAAATGGGTAAGTCATAAATCCTGATCTACATACATTTGGAAGAAAAGCTTACTAATGACAGGTTCCATGTTTGTCTCATGATAGTTTTCATCTAACTCGTGCCTTCCACAAAGCTTTGCCATGTTTTATTGCTAAGTATTGCTTCTATTGTTAATCTTACAGATTCTAAAGATCTCTTTAACATGTATTTAAAACAGTAAAAAAAAAAAAAAAATGTAAATGCCTCATTAAGATTTTTAACGGTTGCCAAAATTTGTGTTAGATTTGAAATAGGTTCAATTAACTAATTTATAAATTGATTTTTTTAATATAACTGCTTACCTTTTACTGTTGAGAGTATCAGTTTTTAAAGGGAACAAAGAGAATGGGGGATGATAGGAACAGAGGTGGATAGAAAAAGTTAAAAGAAAGACAGGGATGTGGGAGACAGAGAGAACGAAGAAAAGAGAAAGAGGTGTTTAATTTGCAAAAATCTTTGTAATTTTTTTTTCACAAAGTAGAAATAACAAGTAAAAGGAAGGTTACAGTGCCATGGGAAACAGAAAACATTAAAGTGCAAGTGTGTTCAAACAATGGACATTGAGCGATTTACAGATAACTTTATAACAAGCCATCCTAAATATCTCTAACTTCTTTTAATGTAAAATTGTTCCTTCTCAAAGACCTTAGAAACACCTGCTGATTGTTTTGGTTACATTAGTAGATACACAGTATCTGTATTGTGACCTTTGAGGATTAATTTGTTCACAAGACTTATAAATACAGAGATTAATGAGGGCTTGTATTAAAGTGCTTTTATTGCTTGTTCAGAATATTAATTACTTTAATATGCATCATCTTGGCACCCAGTTGCGGACCTAAGGAAGAAAGGGCCCTGGTGCAAGACTTTAACTTGGGGGCCCCCCTTCCGGCTCCTGGGGGGGGGGGGGGACGAGAACTCAGCGCGCCCCCA